TGCTAGGATTAGGTGTCCAGCCCAAGAGTGGGGTCTTGATCCTACAGGATAGTGTATCCTTATAAGAAGGAACATCAGAGAGTATACTTCCACCTCCTGTAGCACCACTGAGGAAAAGCTGTGTGGGAATATAGTGAGAATGTTGTCGACAAGCCAGGGAGAGTGCACCCACCAGCAATCAGATCACTGCAACCTTGATTTTGGATTTCTACCCTCCAAAATGATTAGAAAACTGATTTCTGTGGCTTAAGCCACTCAATCCATGATGGCTTGTTATGGCAGTGTAACACAGGTAGTTTTTTTCTTAAGAAAAACACAATTTTACTGCATTTTAAAATATATTGGCATTAATTGTTCATGTTATTGTCCATTTAATATCTCTTAGATCTATAATGATTAACCATCTATCATTCTTGTAATTTCTGATTTATGTCTTAACTATTTTTTAGTAGAGCTAGAGATTTATTAGTTTTATTGATTTATTAAAGTACTAGCTTTGGCTTCTCTGACTTTCTGTATACATGTCACTGGTTTCTCTGACTTTAACAATCATTTCTTTTCAGAAAAGTCTATTTTGGATTTTTCTTTTCTTCTGTTTTTATGGTAGAAACTTAAGTTATTGAATTGTACTTTTTAATAGTCTGTTTAACATAAAAAATCTCACTTTCATCTCTTTTAAAATATCCAAAACTGGGCATGGTGGCACATGCTTATAATTCCAGCACTTGTGGGGAGGCTGAAGAAAGAGAATTGTGAGTTTGAGGGCCAGCCTGGTCTACCTAGTGAATTCAATGCCAGCACCTCACCCCCCAAAAGATACATCCCACAAGTTTAAAGGTAAGATTTTAATTTTCATTCAAAATATTTCTGATTTTGGCTGTAATTTTTTTTGACTCATGAATCATTTACAAGTATATTCAATTTTTAAGAATTTAGAGATTTTTCCAGAAACTTTAAAAACTGGATTTTAAAATTTAACTCCATTGTGTTCAGAAAACATACTTTGTATGAACTAATTTAAAGTTTGTCCATACATTTTTTAGGTCCAAAATATGGTCTGTCTTGGTAAATGTAAATGTACTCTGCCCTACAGATTCTGGCTGCTTTCACCTAACTTCTATATCCTTAATTTAGGGAACCCCCTGGCTTTGTTCTGACCCATCCTCTGCACCCCACACCATGCTATTTCTGGACAGTACACTTGAGGAGTCAGAGCCCATTTTGCTTGTTTCCCTTCTTCGGCGGCACTGGCCTTTGTTGCGTATCGCCCAGTTAGAAAACCTCTGGTTCACATATTTTGTCTAGTGTTTCACTATGGTCAGAAGTGCATTCAGAATTTATTTTTTTTGCATATTTAAAAATACTTTTGCTAAGTATATGGCTTGGATATGGTTTGAGTGTCCCCAAAGGTTCATGTGTTGGGGGCTCAGTAGTGGTTAGATGGTGTGGACCCACCGAGGGCCTTCAGAAGGGATCAAGGGAAAGGTCCCAAGAGGGTTATTACAGAAGCTTGAGCCTGAGAAATGCTTTTTGGGGTTTTAGCCCTCAAAAACTATGAGCTAAGCAAACCTCTTTTCTATCTGATGTTTCTGCCATTTCTGCCTCGAGTGTTTCACTATAGTAACAAAGAGACTAATAAGTATTAATTCTGGAATGACCTGTATTTTTTAAAATGTGCTTTAAAGGTATCATTTCAGTTTTATTTCTACCTTTGAAAAACCAACTCTCAGCCTTTGTCATTACTTTGAAGGTTGCAGTTTTGTTTGTTTTTTTAAGACAGGGTCTTGCTATGTAGTTTAGGCTGGCCTCAAGCTCACTGTGTAACCCAGGCTGGCCTTGAACTCACAGTGATCCTTCTGCCTCAGCCTGCAGAGTGCTGGAATTACAGGTGTATGCCATCATTCCCAGCACGTTTGGTTTTTTTTTTTTTTAATCTTTTTTATTTTTTATAATTTCAGTTGAAGGAGACTAGGTGTATTTCTTTTACTTAATCCTGGTTGAAATTCACCGGGCTTCTTTAACCCATGGATTGATGTCTTAACAATAGTTCTGAAGAACTCTCAGCCTTTATCTCTTTAATAAATTATCCCATTCTTTTTCTCTGGAACACTCATCAAAGACATTAGACCTTCTCTATGAATTGATGTCTCTTGTGCATTTTTTCCATCTTTTTTCTCTGCCACATTATAAATAATATCTTCTAATTTTAAGATTATCTTTCCTGCCATGTAATTTGGGGCCAATCATGTCCACTGACTTTTCAATTTTGGTTATTGTATATTAATTCTGTTTGGCTCTTCAAATATACATCATTGTTAATATTTTTTTCCTTATAGTATTTTCCAGTATGATTATTTTGTTGATCATGGTTGTTTTATAATATATCTAGTGTCTACAGCCTGTGAAGATCCTAATCTGGCTACTTCTACTTGCTGTCTTGCTTTCCTGTGTACTGTTTTATCTTTGCTACCACATTAGCCATGGCTCATGAAAATTTACCTACAGTGTTTTTCAAGCCACAAAATAAGTGTGCCTTCCTTCTGAGAAGCACTGGATTGGCTTCTGTTAGGTTCCAGGGGTTATTGCTAGTTAGGGATCACCTCAGCTTATGTTAGAATCTAAAGTTCCCTGGCTACTCAGGTTGTGGAGCTCAAGCCTCAAAATTTTTTGAAGGTTGATCTGTGTTTACAAGTTTGATTTTCTTGGTGCATCTTATTTTCTTCCTATAGCCCCTAAATCTGGGACTGAGTTTAGTTTAGTTCTCCTTTATTGTGATGATGTACTACTTTGGGGTCTTACCTTTTTGAAGAGTTTCCTACAAGATTCTCCAACTTGAATGGCCCTTAGTCTAGCCTCCTACCCTCTTTGTCCTATGAGCTCACCAAAGCATTACACTTTCTTTCAGGTCAAAAGTGGCTTTACTATATTCAATACTCCACATATCTCTCTAGCTTGAGGCTTTCTTTAAAGGCTTGTTCTTATAATTCATCCTCTTTTTACCTCTTCTGTATTTTTTAGATTTATATCACACACATGCGTGCGTGCGCGTGCACGCACACGCGCACACACACACACACACAGTTTTAAAAGCTCCATCCAGATAAGGGCTAGAACGTGTGTTAATTTTTAAGGAAAAAAACTTAACTTTACCATTTAAAAGCTGCTGGGCATGGTGGTGCATGTCTGCAATCCCAGTACTCAGGAGGCTGAGGCAGAAGGATCACTGTGAGTTTAGGGCCAGCCTGGGCTACATAGCAAGACCATGTCTCAAAAAACAAAAACAAAACAACACCAAAACAACAACAGCAACAAGAACAACAAAACATCCAAAAAACAAAAACAAAATAAAGTCTAAAAACCTGTTTTGAAAAAGAAGCAGCAAGATATATCATATACAGGTACAAATTCCTTATGATGAATGTTATCATTATGTATATCTAAAACGTACTGATAAAATTTTTTAAAAACCTGTTTTCAGTAGAGAAGTTGCTCTGCTATTCCCAGAAAGAGGAAATATCCATAAAAATTGTTAAGCATTAATGCTAAATGTACTTTTTCCTATCAAATTTATTCTTGTTAAAGTTAACAGTTCTGTCAATTTGAGTAAAAAAACCTCCCAGCTGGTTGGCTTGGCATAGTTTTGAGTGTGTCTGGATGATGAACTTATTGAAGAGGGAAGACCCACCCTGGGTGTGGGTGGCACCAATCAACACACCTGTAGCCTGGATGGAGTGAAAAGGGAAAGAAGAAGGAAGTCTTGCTTCTGTTTCTTTGAAGGAGCTCCAGTCTTCGCCATCACCTTTGGATGTCTGCCTCCAGCCTTGCAACACAGACTATTCACCTTCCAGTGTAGGGCCTTTCGCTTCCCAATACAGATCCCAACAGGACTCTGCAGTGAGCTCCAGGTCTTCCACTGTTGACTGGATTATTTGGCGCAGATGGCCCTTTTGCATTCTCCCACACCTGACTCTGCAGGCAGCCACTGTAAGCCTACCTTATAAACTGTGTATACACACACACACATACACACACAGAGTCTGTTAAAAAATACCCACTCCAGAGAAAGAAAAACTTGCATAAATATGTTGACTCCCAGTAAATTGACTGCTTTGTCACATGCACATTCGGATTCTCATTTCTCAATAAATTTAATATTAAAATATTTATACAAGTTTTTCTTTTCCTGAAGTGTATATATGTTTTCTGTGGACTCATTTATATAATCACATATATGTGATTATAAATGTATGTCAAAATATAATTCTTTTTTACTCTAGAAGAGATAAATTTCAAAAGAATGTGCAACTAAAAGCACAGTTTAAGACCTGGGAACTGGCCTAACCTTGCCTCTTTATATAAGTGACTTAATTTCATGTTATAACTCAATGTTCTTGCCTGTTAAATGGAGATAAGACCAAAGCATCCTGATAATTCCTTTTTAGATCTAACAATCTATGAACTACAGATGTACCTACATTTTATGACTGACACCCATAATAGACTTTACTGAACAATGACAGTTCTCTGGTTCATTGGTACAACCTTTCCATAATAACATTCCAGAGCCATTCACCTCCAACTGACTAGAGATGGCACAAATCCTATTTGTAATCCCTATCTCTGTATATATGACATCTTTTGAAGTATCGGATAAAACAGCTTCTTTTCTACTGTGTTATACCATTATTTGCTTTTCTAATAGTTTAAAATTAACAAATATTGCCTCCAATCATTCTCACCTTTCAGGATTGTAGAGAATTAAAGTATACAATTAAAATGTTCCTCTTTTAAAAAAAGGCAATCATCAGAGACAAAATCAATTATTCAAGGCTCTGTGCAAAAGCATCTTATTGAGAAAAGTGCTAATAAATAAAGACAAGCAATGATTTACTTCAGGTAGACAATAAAAATTTAATAGTAATATAAAATAAACATATAAAAATCAACTGTTTAGTTTTGGATGTTAGAAAATAATATACATAATAAATTTAACATAGTACTGATAGTGCTGCAAGATTTTATTTTTCAAATTTTAGATTATGCTAATCAGGCTGCTTTGTACTCAGAGGCTCAAAAATTCTGCTTTTATTCCTAAAAACATCTGGACAGTAGGCATCTCTAATGAAACCATGTAATACTTGGAACAGTGTAAGTGAAGCTGTGTGACCAGCACGTCAATAACCTAAGTAAATCCTCTCATAATGAAAATAAAAAAGGCAAACATTAGTTACCAAAACTGTCACTATCAAAATAAAGATGATTCCTTTTCCTTTCTTAACCTCCCATTGCCACTGAAGCATATGCATGAGAGGAAGTAAAAAAAAAAGGGTAACTTTATACTATATGCTAGGTCAGTGTTAAAATTCACAGCTTAAATTTTTAAGACATAATATTTCTGGTCCTTAAAAGAAGTAGAATTAACCAACTTTTTAAATATCAGAAAATAACAACGTTGTGAATCATTCATAATCAAATCTTTCAATGATTTCTAAAACTGTTTCTACAGCCTGTTTCCACTCAGCTAGTTCAAGAGACACATTGGTTGAAAAATAACTTGAGGATATAAACTTCAAAGCTAAAAATTCCACTTCAAAATGTAAAGATTTAAATAGAGCCCTTGATAAGGTTACTTAGTGCAGAACTGCTGGCCAGGATGAAAACAAGCACAGCAGAGGAAAAAAAAAAAAAAAAAAGGCCATGCTTAACTACTTAAATGAAAAACCATAGGCAGGTCTCTCATGACAGAAATAATTTCTTCAATCTAAAGACATTTACTCAAAGTCAAAGCTACCTTATTGCACGGTAAATTTTCAAAATCATTAAGTCCAATTCTGGGTCAATGCTGCTTATGCTTTGGTTGGTGATTTGATCAAATATATGTTCTGTAGTATTTAACTATAAAATTCAACAAACAAAATAAAATTGGTAAAATGCTAGAATCTTAACTGAGAAATCATGTTTTTCCATCTTTTTCATGCAATAAGCATGCTCATCTTAAATCTAGTATTTCTTATAAATAATCTATATATTTCCCACCGAAGCTTGTTATTCTGATGAGCCAAATTCAAATGCTTTCATGTAGTTGAGGATTAAAGAAAGTCTTGAGGATTATTCATCATTATCTGTTGAAAATACAAAAAGATTAATTTACTTTATTTCCAATCAAATTGTATCTGGTTAGTAAAAAAAAAATTCTTTTTCACACTAAAGGAAAAGAGATTTAATGCAGTTTTAATTGGGCCGGAGATTTAGCTTAGTGGTTCTGCTGCCTGCCTTGCAAGGACAAGGTCTCAAGTTCAATCCCCGGTACCCCCGCCAATGCAGTTTTCATTATAATAGTATATACTGATAAGATATTCATACAATGTAAGAAAGAATAAAGTGGGAAGCAAAAGTCAGCAGAGGATAACCAAAGCTAATAATTACATATAAATCTTTCAAAATTTATTATTCATATGTTTTAAAAAATTATACCAAAATACAGTTTTGAGACATGAGTTTTTCCATTTAAAATATATTATGAACGGGAAGAAGGATAAGTAAGAGCAAGCAAGATGATAAAGGAAGATTAAAAATGTTAATGGTCGGATCCACAAAGTAGGTATAGGTGATCTCTATAAAGTTTTCAAGTTTTCCATATGAAAAATATTAATCATGGATATATTCCACATCAATTTCAATACCTGCATATTGTTACGGGATAATGTAATTAACCTTGTATTTATATGTTCTGGCCCTCTCTCCCTCCTTTTCTCTCCCTTTCTTTCTCCCCCTTCCTCTTTCCCTTTCTCTTTTTTCCCTTCCTCCCTCCTTTCCTCGTTTCTCCTTTTTCCCTCTTTCCCTTCTCTTCCTTCCTCCTTCTCCTCCCCTCCCCTCCCTTTTCTTCCCTCCCTCCCTTCTTTCTTTCCTTTTGGATCAAACCCAGGGCCTTACACATGTTAGGCAAGTGCTCTACCACTGACCTACATTCCAAACTCAGTAGACTGAAATTAATGTATATTCTTCCCTCTTATAGTTTTCTACTTTTTTTTTTTGTATTGGGGATCGAACTCAGGACCTTGTGCTTGTGAGGCAGGTGGTGGCACCACTGAGCTAAATTTGGCCTCCACTTTTATTAAATATATGTACAACTTAACAAAATTGCCTTTAAACATTATATAAGTGGTATTATATAATTTTTTGACTAATGAATAGAAAAGATTGTTAATATTTTTGGTACTGGGGATCAAACTCAGGACCTTGTGCTTGCGAGGCAGGCATGGGTACTACTGAGTTAAATCCCCAGCCCTGATAGAAATTATTTAACTGCTGTATAGAATCATTTTAACTACTATGTAGAATCGTTATATAAACATAGCACAACATTTCATCTAAAATGAATGCTGAAGGAAGGTATGTGTTTACTTTTAAGAATCTGTGAGCTTGGCTGCTAGTGCTATTACTCTATGTGAGTACTTAGTACCCTCATCAGTCTACCACTGACCACTGTTATACTCCTCTTCTTGTGGAGGAACCTATTAAGTATAGTATTAATTAATTTACAAATTGTACTAGTTTTATTTGACTTCTGACATTGGAGAGTACCTTGCTATGGACGAATCAGTATTAGCTTTATTAAAAGGTACAGTTACTGAGAGGTTGTACCAAACCTCCACTGTAACAGTATCAAGGAAATTAAATTGTTTAGACTGCCTTTTCAGGACTCAACTTCCAGTGAAATGCAACAGGAATGTGCTTAAACGATCTTTTTAACACATACCTTAATGACTCGATATTACTTTTGAGTCAGCTAGATAAAATTTTGTACTCTCTCCCATTTTTGCTCTCCCATCCACTACAGAAAATAAGTGTGTAATCATCACATGGTTTTATTATCTCCAAATATAGGCTAAAAGACAACTGTCTATAAGATTGCTAAAATATTGGTCAGATTACAGACTGGTTTATATTCTAAACCCAGTTACTGTCTAACATTTACCTATCTGATAATTAACCATATAAACCAGCAAGCTATTTGAATATTTGAATAATGCAATATACATTTTACAACTAGTTTATGTAGTGGCTATATTATTAAGTTATAACATTTTATGAGCTGTACTAAGATTTTTTTTTTTAAAGTTTACCAGAGTTTTTGTTTTTGTTTTTTAAAAAGATTGCCATTTGGCTTTAATTGCTTTATATTCTTTTTGTCTAAGCTAAAGAAATTGCTGCCAGGCTTTATGCTACAGAACTTTGGAGTTTTTACTTCCTTTCTGTCTGTATGCTACGGAAAATCCAATACTGCTTCTTGAGGGATCTATTAGCCTGGCCTGATTCTTGGGTCTTTGAGGGGGCATAACCTTCTATGTAGGCACGTATCCTTTTGAAGCCACTCAGCGGTCTAAAGAGGATGTCAGTTTTACCTTATGGTTCAAATGATTATTACAGACTCTACCTAAGAGGTAAAGCAAAATAAAAACTCTTCAGATACATGACAAGCAAAGCTAAAGCCTAAGCATATTGGTGCTGATTAGTGTGAAAAGTTCCATGGAAAATACTGTGGAGAACGCCTGAAGGATGAACAGTTTGAATGCAAACAGAACTGGTATGATACTCTACACAGATTTACTTACTTGGAATCATCCTCAGGCCTTATGCCAGCAACTTACACTATGACATATTATGAGAAATTATGAGAAACAGACTCATGAAATCCAAATACTACAAGAATTACTGAGGATATTTTTCATTGTAATACTGTTTTTAGAAGATGGAGCCTAAGGTCTTAATAAAACCAGAAATCCCTAAATTCTACATAATGCTTGCCTGGGGATGTAGCTCAGCACAATGGCCCTGGGTTTAATCCCAAGTACCACACACAAACACACAAAATACACTTTTATTTTGAAGATAATATTTTACTATTTAGAAAAATAAAACATCCATATTATAATGGTAATTCAAAACTGACAGAAATTTCCAGAGACTAACACTTGAGTTTATTCTGGGGTGGATCTTTGGATTCTTGCTCCTGGAAAAAACTTTTTCTCCTTAAGTGATTCAAATGTTATTCAAACTTGACAAACATTGTATGATAGTTGCTTCTTAAGCATCATGGGAAGTTTTTACACTGGTTTCAATACCAAAAAATTTCTGTCCTCTGAGTAATTAATGTGGTCTGTCCCATGAACACTGTAACTCATTTAATTACTTAAGTTTCCTGCTTTGCTAGAAATATCAAAACCAAATTTGTGTTTTGTCTTTAAAGAATTAGAGACATTTGGAATATGTACTCTGTATTCTGACTTCATTATTGGCTTCATATTATATTGCTTGCACTCATTTGCCAGATATGCTGATTTTTTTCCAAATACTTTTTAAAATTTAATTTTATCTTGTAAATTTTATGAAAATTTACATCACTAAAATTCAACATCAACTTCAAAACCATCAATTTTAGTTTATGCATAAATTGTTAAAGTAAAGGGATTAATTTTTTTGTATGTAAGATTACTTTTATTTTCTTCATAGAATTGTTGTCTTTGAAAATTTTGTTTTAATATATTTTCCATGTCTATCCTGCATTATATCACTACCCTCTAAAGACCACCTATTTCTTATTGGCAATGTAAATAATTTTGTGCTTTTCGATGATCCCGATGTCATGCTCCAGCTGTTTCATTTCTCCTTCCAGCCTCTGCTTGTGCACCTTCTTCGGGAGAGAGTCGATGAAGACGGAGAGGGCCTGGAACTCTTTGTGCACCTCTTCCCAGTTCTTCTTCAGCCCCTGGAGAACTGCAACTCTTTCTTCATCCGATAACATTTTCATAGCTGCTTTCGTAAGGTTTTCCTGGATATAATGATCATACTCTTCCTGGGCTTTCTTCAGTTCCTCACTCCGCTTACGTATGTATTCAGGTGTGACACCATAATCCTAGGAGGCTGGGGAGGCTCCTTCAAGTCACTGGGTATGAGGTTATAAATGCTCTCAGCCGAGCCGTTGGATCCATGACCAGCAAATGGCTCCTTAAAAACTACAATTCCCAACTTCTTTTTCTCACTGTCCCTTTCTCCGCTGCTTCCCCTTTCGTTTTTGCACCCTCGCCTTGTCAAGGAACTCAGATTTCTCTCTTTCATGTACTCCCCTTTGACCCTTCTTAGCACTCTCTCCCAAGAAAAAGAAACGCGCTTTCTATTCCTCCTGGGGTTGCTCACTGTTGTTCAAAAGGGATTAATTTTTTGGGAAATATTTAAAAATAAATTCCTGTTCAAAACTGTTATGTGTATAAAAGTTAGATATCACATTCTTGATAAGAATTATTCTGATTTCTAGAGCTATCTGGTTAGGTGACTTTAAATTTCTTTTATTTAAATGCTATTTATAAATTAAAAGATGTTAACCTAAGTCAATAAAACTGTATGATACATTAGTAAAAATATATGACAGTTAATTTGATAATTGTTTAAAAGTAGTATGTATTCTAATATTGATTTCAGCAAAGTACATGTAATATAAGGTCATCAATTTACATTTGTCATCTTATTTTTCTCATATTTATTTAAAATATAAAGACATGTACGAAAAATCTTACCTTCTTGATAGGCTCCATCTGCCATTACTAAATGAAGAATCTTGGCATAAAGATGCTGATGTTCATTTCCCAAAATATTTTGAACTACTGTTGAACAAATCTCGGTATTTTCATCTTCATCTTCATGAATAGCCTACAAATTTCCAAATACAAATTAACATTTCAAAACTAATTTTCTCTAAGTGGAAACTTTACTTACTATGTATTTATGATAAACCTAATGACCAATAAAGATCATCAATATATCTCTAGTATTCAAACAGAGCAAATTTCAAAAGAATTTCAGTTAACATTTTACTTACTTTTATTTTCTCATAAACCTCAAAAAATTTTTCGAAGCCTATTTCTTGCTCCAGGTGAAGTCTCAGTTCCTCTAAATGGTTGAAGACACTATCATATTCACATTCACTAGTAACTTCACCATCACTGTTATCTAAAAAATAAAAATAAATACAAGATATTTTATGATTATAAAAATAATACTTCTTTCCCTAGACTAAAATTCTATGGCATGTGAATAATGTCACTGAAGTAGACTACTTACACTTTTAATATAAACAGTTGTCACTAGATAGAAACAGTAAATCAGGTTAAAAAAAAATTTCTAGCGATTTCCCAAGCTAAAAAAATCCTAGATATATCATTTAATTTAGTAAATAAAGGGAAAAAATGTACTTCTGTGCTCTACATTGAATCAGTCAATTCTAAGAATTGTGTTTTCAAAGTTGATAATAAACACGGATCATAACATAATAAAGCACACAAATGGCAGATGTCCTAAGACACACAACATAACATTTTGGGAAAACACTGGAAAATTATAAATACTCTATATTTTTCTTATGTACATACTAAAGATATTTTGAAAAAAAATTACTGAAGAATCTTTTTCCACATTACTTCTTCATCCCAAATAGTGAAATGTATGAGCATTATATGCATGTTAAGGGTAATGCTATGAACAAAGAATGGTTTCAAAACAAAATGAAAATGTTAAAAATTAAGTTATCCTTATTACTGGAGAAATAAGCCGAGAAATGGAGAACAAGGAACAATAAAAATCTACCAAAAATCATTGCCATAATTTAATGGGAAAGAAATGGATTAACTCTGTATACACATTTGTGTGAAAAAGAAAAAAGGCAGGGACACAAACCCATGCTTTAGTCTTAAAGTTGAATATGGCTCATATCAAATATGAGAAAAATACACTGTACTTGAAATGTTTATACACACTGAAAAGAAAAAGGTCCACAACACGACCATGCACCTGAGTGCCATTCTTCGTTCAAGGCACTTTCACTGCTGGGGTTGTCCTCTTCATCTGCCAGGTCTGTGCCATTTGCAGTCTGCTCTACATCACTGTTCTTTAGGGCCGACTCTTCCTCCTCACTGTATTCTTCACCAGGTTGCTCCCTCAGTAACTGCTCCATTGAGGCCTGAAGCTCTTGTAAATCTGTGTCAGCTTCTTCAAATACACTGGAATTTAGAAAATAAAACATCACTGAAATGTTACTGATTTTGAAACATCACTTTAACTCAATATGTATTCCTTTAGTCTTTTTTTGTGTGTGCGGGGGGTACTGGGGATTGAGCTCGGGACCTTGCGCTTGCGAGACAGGCGTCGAAACCACTGAGCTAAATCCCCGGCCCCGTGTATACACTTCTTTGTATTTAAAAGTATTAATCGTAGATAAAAAGAAGTCTAAAAAAAACCTATGTAGTTTTTAACAAGAAAATGAGAATGAATACAGAAGATAAATATGACATGATAAATAGCACATGACACATATTCTGGGATATATAAGCCAGGAGGTGACTTGTTTAAAATGGTCCTGATTTGCCAAAGAGAATGACATAACCATCAATATTCATTGCTTAAAAATTTTGAAACAATGCTGATGTTTAAGGAGTCAGACTAAAGATGTTTTTTATTTCTTTCTAGAACAAATATTTAGTATTCAAAATTTTCTTTTATATAATTTTAAAGGTTAGTCAAAGTCTTCATGTGGATATATAACAGTCATACATTATATGAAAGGCTTTCCATGTAAATGGACATTGGACATTTGAACTTTAAAATTTTTCTTTTTAATGGTGCCAGGGATCAAACCCAGGGCTTCTTACACATTAGGCCAACTACTTCACTACTGAGCTAAACCCCTAGCCCTGAACTTACAGAGATGGAAATATATGTTCAGGTTAACAGGATGATCCAGGAACCTGATCTTTAGGTATGTATTCTCAAAAATGTTTCTAAAATACATAATAGACTTTCCTGTGTAATTAGAATATACTATCATAATACTACAGAATCTTATTTTCAAGGCATTGATCGGGGTATTATTTCTATTTTTAGTGGGATTATAAATACTGGAATAAATGAGTTTATACAAATAAGATAAAATAGGATTGAACTGCTTCAGAAACTAAATTACTAATAAGTATATGCTAGTTTATATTTATATAGTATTTACTTATATTTTATATCAATAAGTATCATACTTAATAGTATTTTAGCATATTAAGCAATTTCATCCTATTATTTAAATTTTAACCTCAAAAACTGTTGAGACATGGAAACTGAATCAAAGTATTTTTTCACCTCATTAAATGATTTTTTAGTATATTTTTAGTATGTATTTGGAATATATAATAATTACATTCATTTTGGGGAATACACACAGACACACACACAGTATCTTGGTCATATTTGATCCCCTTCTTCCCACCCTCCCCCTCCCCCTCCTCCAGGTGCTGATCCTCATCTCTAACAGTAATCCTCCCACCCTGTACCTTAACATCTCTCCTTTATTTTTTTTAACAAATTATTTATATTTTGAGTTTCTCATATAAGAGAAACTATGTGATATTTAATCTGTTTGGTTTATTTCACTTAACATTACAGCCTCCAGATCTGTCCATTTCTTATAGATGATTCAAATTTATCTTTATGGTTGAGTAACACTCCATCATCTACACACACACACACACACACACACACACACACATTTTCTTTATCCATTTATCTGTCGATAGACATAGGCTGTTTTTATAATTTAGTTATTGTGAGTTAGGCTGCTATAAACATGAGTATGTATATATTACTGTAATATGATGACTTTAACTCTTTTGGGAAGATACCCAGGAGAGGTATGTATAACTAGGTCAAACATGAGTTTCTAATTTTAGTTTTTTGAGGAATCTCCATACTGATTTCCACTGTGGTTGTACCAGTTTACACACCTACCAACAATGCAGAACAGTTCCCTTATTCCCACATCTTTGCCAATATTTGTTGTTTATTATTATTATTATTATTACTGGAGTGTTGTTTTAATTTGTATTTCCCTAACAGCCAAAGATGCAGAGCATTTTTTCATGTATTTATTAGCTATGTGTATTTTCTTTTGAGAATTATTAATTTTAATATGGGTCTTTTTTAAAAAAAATTCTTTATGTACCAGAGAAGGAGCTGTAAAAAAGTTTTTCCATTCTGTAGGTTGCATCTTCACTCTTGACTGTTTCCTTTTTTTGTGCAAAAGCTTTTAAATTTGATATAATCCCAATTGTTAATTCTTGGAATAATTTCTTGAGCAACTAGGGTTCTGTTCAGAGGTCCTCGACTGTGCCTATGTCTTCAGGTATTTTACCTACTTTATCTTCCTGGAGAGTTAACATTTCTGTTTTTATATCCAAGTCTTTGACCCATTTTTATTTTATTTTAGTATCTGAAAAGAGAAATAGGTCTAGATTAATTCTTTTATACATGGACAACCAGTTTTCCCAGAACCATTTGTTAAATACACTATCTTTTCTCCAGTGTTTGTTTTTGGTCCCTTTGTCAAAGATGTCTGAAGGCTCATGGGGCTGTTTCTGTGTCTTTTATTTCACTGGTCTACATGTCTATTTTTGTGCCAGGACTACGCTGTTTTTATTACTGTAGCTTTATAATGTAACTTGAAATTGAGGATTGTAATGTCTTCCATTTTTCTCTTTTTGGTCAGGTTTGTTTTGGCTTTTCTGAGGCTCTTTTAGTTTTTATAAATTTTAGGATTTTTTTTTCCTACTTCTGTAAAGAATACTGTTAGTATTTTGATTAGAGCTGTAGTACATCTACAGATCATTTTTGGTAATATGGACTGTTGTTTGATTCTGCCTGTCCACGAACAAGGGATGTCAATTTTCTAATGTACTCTTTAATCTCTTTATTCAGAGTACTGTTGTATTCATTACAGAGGCCTTTCACCTCCTTGGTTATGTTGATTACTAAGTATGTACAGTGGACCCTTGACTTAGGAACTCGATTGGTTCCTGAAGGCTGGTTGTAACTCAAGTTGGTTGTAGGTCAATACACCTGAGATCTGGATGTTTACCTGGGTACATGCTATAGCTATCAAGAGGCAGAGGAATTTTCCATTAATTAACCCAAGTTGTTCATATGTCAGGCCAGTTGTAACTTGAGAATGCACTGTACTTTTTTTTCTTTGAGCTACCATGAGTAGAAGTATTTTCCTGATTTATTTTATTGTACATTATTGATTTGCAAGAATGCTATTGACTTCTGTGTGCTGATTTTGTATCCTGACACATTCCTGAATTTGTTTATTAGCATTATGAATCTTCTGGTCGAGTTTGTTTTGTTTTTTAGGTCTTCTATGTAAAGGATCATATTATCGGGAAACAAAGATAGTTTAATTTCTTCCTTTCTTATTTTTTATA